GATGAGGAATTAGAAGTACAACAAGGCTAATTTGCCCAGTCATAACACTGATTAATGATAGAGCTGGAATTTGAACCCAAGTAGTCTGGCTTCAGAACCAACACTTAATCCCTATGCCCTGGGCTATATTAATAGCCCAGGGGTTATTAATATTACATTCAAAACATTTTCATAAAGATTAGCTTGAATAATTAAAGGAACCCAATGGAAATATCAGGTAATGTCTGGCATTCAGAAGATATTCAGACACATTTTAAACCCTTTTTCCCTAGAAGAGAATGGATAGTGCAAAATGTAACTCCCAGCATTAACCAAGAAAAATTAACAAATAGGCTGACTGTTAAAAGTGACATCAGCAAATACAAGTCGCAAGAGCAATTCATGTTCTAGACAAAGGGAATCACAGAAAAATGATAGGGTTTAATGCTCTAGATGTATGTGGAACATTCTAATTAACCGGACAGAAGGATAAGTTCTACCCTGAGGAACTAGTGTAATTAAAATGGCCTTAAGTTGGGGAGGGGGATGAATGAGATAAAACAGATTCAGAATACACTGATCAATGTATAGAATTGTTGAATCATTATATTGTACACCTGAAGCTAATATAACATTGTATGGTAATTATACTTCAATAAAAATATTTTAAAAAGCACAGTGATATGGAAAGATCTCCAGCCTGTATGATCAAGTGGAAAAAAACAAGTTTAGAACAATTTACACATTATTCTTGTGTTTAATGGGAGAAAATAAAAATATGCATTCATGTTTGCATTTATTTGCACAAAAACACTGGGAGAGTATACAATAATGCAATAAAATTTAAAAAGGCCTTTAAGTAGATTTACATGGTGTATTTGATATATACAGAAGCATATATAAGTTATGAAGTAAGATAATATCCATGAAGCCACCACTCAACTTAACTAGAAAATTAATAGCATTGAAATGACTTGTGTGTGGTTCCTCCAGCATATCTTACTGCCTTCCCACTACTCCAAATACTGGGCTACATTCCCTGTTTTTTTTAACCATATATGATGTAAGCCTAAGCAAAATAATGTTTAAATTTGCTGGTTTCTGAGCTTTACAATGGCACCTAATCTTTTGAAATTTGCGTTTTAAGTTCAGCATTGTTTCTAAGATTCACCTAAAAAGCCTGTGGACTGTTTTCTATTTTTTACTCCTACATGAGTATACTACATTTTGATTATCCATGCTTCTATATGGGGTATTCGGAATTCCAGCATTTTGCTGATACTTACATTTCTGTAAACATTCTTTGTACATGTTCAGTGGTCATGGTTGCCTCATTTCCTCTATGACGCGGTCTCAAACCCGACTGCACATTACAATCATGCCAGGAGCTTTAAAAAGCTCCAGATTTTACATCTTATTGCAGCCATGGTTGAAGACAATTCCCTAGCGCATACACCTAGGGGTAGAATTGCAGACTCAGAGGACACTGGCATCTTCAATTTTCCTGATCAAGTCTCAGTCTTCCAAAGCTGGAGTTCCTGATTACTCCCTAGCCCCACCAGCAGTGAGGAGATTCTGCTTCCTCCACATTCTCATTATATTTATATTGTCATACTATGCAACTGTTTGCCAATTTTGGAGAATGCAGAAAGGCATTGTTTCTTGCTTTTGTATTCTGTTCCATTGGTCAATCTCTGCAGCAATATTATAATCACTGTCTTAATGACTATAGCTTTTAACCTGTTAAAATTCTCCCACTATATTCTGCCTTTTTCTTAGTTTTTTTTTAATGTTTATTTTTGAGAGAGAGAGAGAGAGAGAGAGAGAGAGAGAGATTGAGTGCACAAGCAGGGGAACTGCAGAGAAAGAGAGGGAAACAGAGGATCTGAAGCAGGCTCTGTGCTGTGAGTGCAGAGACCAGTGTGGGGTTCAAATCCATGAACCATGAAATCATGACCTGAGCTGAAGTCAGTTGCTTAACCTACTGAGCCACCAGGTACCCCTCTTTTTTTTTTAAGTTTATTTTGAGAGCGAGAGAGAGAGAGAGAGAGAAAGAGAGAGAGAGAGAGAAAGAGAGAGAGAGAGAGAATGAATCCCAAGAAGGCTCCATGCCATCAGCGCAGAGCCCCATGTAGGGCTCGAACTCACAAACCATGAGAGATCATAACCTGAGCCAAAATCAAGAGTTGGATGCTCCACTGACTTAGCCACCCAGGGGCCCCTATTCTGCCTCTTTTTAAGAGATTTTAGATGTTTTGCTCCCAACAATTGTTTGTGTTGCCATTATTTGACAATTTCATAATTTATTCTTAGTTTATAAATATCTGTAGGGAAAAGAATGAGAGTGATAATCTTGTGACAATACAGCAAAGACCAAGATGAAATCAAGACCAGTGCCAAACACTATTGCTCTTTGGTGAGAATTAGATACTTGTTAGACTTAACATTGTTGACTCTTGAACTGACAACATGCATGAAACACTGGAACTAGATTGCTGAAAATCATATGAAAGAAACAATGTGGGGGTCGTGAGAAGAAATGAAGTCATGCAATTTCTGGCTTATGAATGAACACATTTGGGGCAGCTGGGTGGCTCAGTCAGTTGAGCGTCCAGCTCTTGATCTCGGCTCAGGTCATGATCTCACGGTTTGTGAGATTAAGCCCACGTCAGGCTCGGCACTGATATTTCTCTCTCTTGCTCTCTGCCCTTCCCCCATTCTTTTGCACACTCTCTCCCTCTCAAAATAAAATAAAAAGAATGAACACATTTTCCAAAAACATAAATGACAGAAGAAATTCAGAGTATGTAGAGTTGTCGATAGGAAAATAGTTTGATACAGATTTCTTTAACATAAGTGTTTGGCATGTATCACTTTAAAACAAAACAAAACCAACTAATACTTGAGCTCAAATATTGCTTCTGCAAAACCATCACCCATTCCTGCAGAAAGTATCGGTTGTTCTCTCTCAGGCTGCCATGTTGAATGGTAACTATCTTTGTGTATCATTCTTCTCCATTGTAATGAGAGTCTAAAGATGAGGGAAACTTCTTTCTGGTTGCCTCTATTTGCCACATAGTAGGGGCTCAAAAATGATATTTTTAAATACATACATGGAAAATTAGGTGATTAGGTTTCTAATTTCTTTAAATTTGGCTATATACCTACTGTTTCAATTTACATAGTGTTGATTGCAATCTGGCACACATATAGCTTGACCTTGCAATGTAAACAGGAGAGTTCTTGCAAAGAAGGTCAAAGTAAAAAAGTGTATGCCCTTCCTCAATTGAATTGGCTTTCAGCCAGAGGCAGGGCAAGTACAACAGTCTAAGAGGCCTCTTCAATACAGAAAAGATTAAATATGGAAGAATTTAAAAATTATTGCCAACTGAGGCTGAAAAGAGAGCACCAAATAGCTTCTGACCCTTGTAGGAAAATCAGGCAGCTTCCCGAGGTGGTACATAGGATGCTAATCCCATATCCTTTGCTGACAGAGCCCTGAAGTATCACCACCACCAGGTCACTGTCCCTGGAGGTCACAATGGAGATTGTGCCAGCACCAAAATTAACCACTAGCAAATCTCACTGTGAAGCAAAAAAGGCTTTAGACAGGACACTTTAAATTTTTTTTTAACATTTATTTATTTCTTGAGAGAGACCGAGCAGGGAATGAGCAGAGAGAGAGGGGGAGTCACAGAATGCAAAGCAGGGTGCAGGCTCTGAGCTGTCAACACAGAGCCTGACACAGAGCTCGAAGTCACAAGCTGCAAGATCATGACCTGAGCCAAAGTCAGATGCTTAACCGACTGAACCACCCAGGTGCCCCAGGAAGGACACTTTAATACAGCCCATCTTTAATCCCTTTTAATGTAATCTGGTAAAAAAAAGAGAGAGAAATTCAACAAGAGACAAAGTAAAAATCGTACAAAATAGATTAACAGAAGAACTAGAGAATCCCCATTCCAAATCTCATCATCCATTTTACTCAGAGACCCTGTCAAAAAGCATAAATGAAATCAATGCAGGCAGTTTAGAACAATGTTCATGGAAGAAGTTTTTACCAAATACTAGGATATTTATAATACTTTCCCTTTGTAGCATTTGCAAAAGAGAGCAAGGATTGAAAGAGTGTGTGGGCTGAGGACAAAGAAATGACAGAAAGGGAAAGAAAGATCAGAGAGAGAATGATAAAATATATTGCCTATCTCCTTATGAGTTACTCTTTCGTGGGGTTATATATATGCTTCCCTAAAGTTGAACTATACTCTGTTTCTGAATGCTATAATCTTGGAAACCAAATGATAAATTTTGGGTGGAAATATATAAAATAAGAAAAAAAAAGTTGCTACAGGCTCTCATTCTATATTACATATTTCTGTGGTGGATTTCATTCAGTCTTCTGGCTCAGGGACCTCCCTTAGTTCCTTCTCCCTTATTCTTAGCTACACCTTAGAAAGATGAGCATGTTGGTTAACTGAGGTTCAGATGAACTGCTTTGTAAACAATTGAGATATCCTAACATTTTATCTAAAAAATTTAAAAATCAAGGGATAAGCCTGATAAATAATTCCTTAAATGTCCACTGTTCATTGAAATTCTGAAACTTAGAGGGATCGTTCCTGTCTCACTGTGCTCAGTGCACTGTTGTGTGTGAGGGAAATTAAGAATTATATGGACTGAATAACATTTGCTTGTATATTCTAATTTTTACCAAACTAGAAAAATAGTACAAGTGTATATGATTGTATTCAAATAATGACATATACATGGCATACTAAATACGAATTTAATGACATTTCAGATTTTAAATTTCCAGGAGGCATGAATCAACATTATCTTTCTGTGTTCAATGTTTAATATTAAACGCATGTACACACCAAATCCAAGCTCCTCTGTGACAAGGGTTGGAGGAAGGGTCACTGGGTCTTTTAACACTGATCGGAGACTTATTTTTCAGAGATGCTGTTAGGTACTTCCTTTCCCATTTATGAACAGAGTTCCACCATGCTACTCTTTAGTGATCACACTTCTCCTCCAGTGACAGATGTGATCCAGTCCCTGTAGGCAGAAATTCTGGCAAAGACTGTTGGTGCAGTGGGCTGGCAGTTACTGCTGCCCCAGCTCACGATACCGATGAGCTTGTATTGTCCGTCCTGCACACACTGCAGAGGGCCTCCCGAATCTCCCTGCAACCGGCAAAAAGAGAAGTTCTTCTGGCTGCACAATTCATAATGGATGCTCACCTCCACTGCAGAGGTGATCAGACAGTGCGTAAGTCATTCTGCCACCTCTCATTTCTGCTCACGACAGCAGAGGCAAATAGGCAGTTGGTGGATATTACAGATCTCTGAATCAGATTGAAACCTCTATTCTCAAAAGGAGGCTAAAAGGTACATTAAACACAAAGTCATTTAATGCTGACAACAGACTGTGTCTTGCAGAAAGTTTCAAGCATCTACTTAATATAAATCACAAAATTATGGCTTTGAGTTACATTAAAATATCTTTATATTTTCAATGCTACTAGAAGCAGATGCTCTGAGCGGTCTAATTCAGCTGTGAAGTTGAGACATAATAAATTATTTTTATAGGTCAAAAACAGTAGAACATCATCAATTTCACACAGTCACCCAAGCAAATGAACGAGCAATTCCTTTTGAGAATTGCATTCACTTCGAGTTTCAAATTAGCAATGACAGTACATCAGCTTAGCAATGTACTTCCTCTTCTCACTTTTCATTTTACAACTGCCATGCACGTATACCTCTTTGTGGTCAGCAAACACCCATTCATGAGACACACTGAGAAGAAAACTGCACTCATCAGCACCATCCTTGAATTACCATGCATGAGGATGATCCTGCAGCCCCTCCACATATATTGGTGTTTTTAATATCCAGTCCCCAGTAACTTCGACAAGATGTACTACTGATCAGTGGTACAGCTGCCTGCTGCATTGTTTTAGAAAATTCGTCTTCTAGTAGGAAAGGAATAAAAACACAAAAATGTTTATGGACAAAACATTTGGGACATAAACATATGGGACAAAATACGTGGGGTAAAAATAGTCCATATACATCCAAGGGTTAAGTCCCACCCAATTCTCCCCTCTGCGCACTGTAATGACGCTGTTAAGTGATTTGTAAAAAACATATTATTACTCCAGGTCACTTATACAACAGGAACCATGGGAAGGGAAGGGAAGGGAAGGGAAGGGGAGGGGAGGGAGGAGGGAGGGAAGGAAGAAGGAAGGAAGGAAGGAAGGGGAAGGGAAGGGAGGGGAAGGGAATGGAAGGGAAGGAAGGAAGGAAGGAAGGAAGGAAGGAAGGAAGGAAGGAAGGAGCCCACTTCATGTGGTTCTTTTATCTTTTGTACAGTCCCAAGAAAACAGAAAAATGACATCACTATACAGAAGGACAAAGGAAGTTTATACCCAAATCAGTTGCTGATAAAGCAAACAACACGTTTCAGTTTTTACACATTTAGTCTATATTCCATTGGTTTCATGGTGTTCTTATTCTTTTGACTTGACTTCACGTTTCAGTGTTGACACTGGAGGTTTCAACTGAAACTGCATTCTGATTCTTTATTTTACTGGATATTTGTTAACTTGTTAACTTAGCTGTAGAATATGGAGGATGTGAGATCAGAGTCATGAGTTTGACCTATATGTAGACTATTTTCACATCATCTTTCCACCACTTACCATTCATACCAGCCTATGATTTCAGAAAAATGCATCACATCTTTGGAAATAGGCTCATGTCTTTAAGTAGAGGTTTTCACAGTAGCGGCCCCTATACTGTTGTGAAAGCAAGTATGTGTGCTCACAGTGCAGCTGGGGGAAAATTACATATAAATGAGACACACAAATATTTACTAGGTACTAAAATCACTAGATGTTTTCTAACACAAGTTTTTACAAGTATCAGTGAACTAATACTAACGAATATGATGTCGTAAAACCCAAGTAGTCACTTTTAGATCCATTGTGGAAAAGACTTTTTCTACTATCATTCCTATTAAAAATACAGAATAATTAAAAATAAGTAAACAATATATTACTCTACAAATATTTGTTTGGATTCTAATCTTGGAAGAGGCAGTGAGTATACTCACGATATGGTTCAGTTATTCCCCATCCAGCAGTCATACATTTGGAAAGTAAATTTATTTTATCATATTTCCCTGGCAAACAGATTAGAGATACAAACTCTCCTAGAATGAGAAAAAGGCAAATATCATTTAGTCCATGGGATTGATATTATCTGTACTATTTGCTCTTCAATGATAGCTCTGAAAGTAACCATTTTGATCTGACAGTACCCATTTTAACCCTGTAATTTAATAAATAAGACTTCCAGAAGATTCCATCTATTAATTACTCAGAAGGGATCACCTCAATTTACATGTTACCACTTTATTCCAGGTATTACCATATTTTCCTAGGACAACAGAAACACATGCCCTGCATAGAGGCATGCCCCGCATGGTTTCTTATCCACTAACCATTTTAAAAAATGCATCTGCCTTTTTGTTTACATGCCTTCAGGACATCACCTTGTTGAATATGAGATGACAGTGCAGAACAATGTAATTATCTTTTCTCTTCAGTGGTATTACATGAAGGATGGAGAAAAACCACATTTGTAGCAATTTAAACTTTTAAAGTATTTTTATAGCTAGTAAGTATCTTTGTGTCTATCTTCATAGGTATATTATAAAATAGATTGATATATGTTTAAACATTCACATTTTTTTCTTATCACCAAAATTGGTATATATATGAAATACATTTGTATGTATTTGTATATATCATTACAAAATTCATAAATATTGTGGGTTTGTGTGTATATGTGTGTACACATACATACTCTCTCTCTCTCTCTGAATTTGTCCCTGTGTTTGCTCTCCCATGCTGTTTGACTTCAATTTTATCCAGACTTTTACACACTTAAATGTTTCAACATATCTGCTGTCCTAGACCATTTATTTCAGTGGTTCTTTATTTTTACTGCTGTCTCTTAGTAAAATCACATAAAGCTCTGTAACTTGTTTTTTTTTCTTACTTTTCTTTCTATACACATGCCAACTGATTCCAAATCTTACGTTATGCTACTTTCATAGATATACTTATAATCATTGCTCAATCATATTGATTCCTGACATTTCCTTGAGCTAAAATATATTCCCTCTACCAACATATTTTTTAATCAGCCATTTTTTCTTATTCTGATTTTCTTCATTTACCAGATTATGGTCAAATCATCTATATCATTGCATATAGACCTATAATATATTTTTAGTGGTACACAGTATCAAATAGTGAATGTACTACAGTTTATTAAATCCCCTTGGCAAACATTTAGACTAATTTTTTTTCCCCTGAAAAACTGCACCAAGTGTCCTAGATTATCAGTCTGTGCATTAGTGTCAGTATTTGTGGAAAACAGAACTGCTGGACCAGGAGGCACACACTTTAGAAATTAACAGATATTGCGAAATTGCCTCATTTTTGGACCAAAAAAAAGAGGATGTATCGACTTATACTTAAGTATTCCTTATGTCAGCAATCTTGAAAATAGTTATGCCCTAAATCTAGCAATTCTACTTCTGGGAAATTTATCTTAAGGCAATCCTAGAACTAGAAAAACACATACATAAGAATAGTCAATGCAGCATTAAATTTAAAAAAAAGAAACAAACTATTTATAAGAATTGTGAAAAGTCTACTATGTAGACATTAAAATTACATTTTAAAAGAAATTTTAATAATATGAAGCAACACTGATAATAAGTGAAAAATCAGGATAAAATTCTTATAATAGGTATATTACAATTTTTTTAAGTACATATAGAGTTGTATAAAAACACAAGAAAGAAATAGGCCATAAATGGTCACATGATGGCCATGGTGAGGTGGTGAGGATGAAAATCATAGGTAGAAATTGTATTGTTTCTAATGGGAGAAAGGACATTTCTCACTCTTACCGATGAACAGAAATGAATGGGTACAGATTAAATAAGCTAACCAAATACTTAAGGGGCAGAGGAACACAAAGTTTCATGTTGATGTTGACACCAGGTGGTGCTGAGTGGAAGTCAAGATCCTTGGAGAACAAAATAAGGGGGGAAATTTTCAAGGGCACCGAACTTCACCAATGGTCTTTTCTAGAGCACTGGTTCTCAACTTTGGCTGCACATGGAAATTTCCAGGAGAAGTTTATAAGATACTGATCTAGATTCAGCAAAATCCAGGATACAAGATCAACATACATAAGTCAATCACATTTAATGTAGAATTTAAAATTAAAAACAATACTACTGGGGCGACTGGGTGGCTCAGTCGGGTTAGTGTTGGGCTTCACTTCAGGTCATGATCTCTTGGTCTGAGAGTTTGAGCCTCATGTCAGGCTCTGTGCTGACAGCTTTAGATCCTGGAGCCTGCTTCGGATTCTGTGTCTCCCTTTCTCTGCCCCTCCCCCGCTCATGCTCTGTCTCTCTCTCAAAAACAAAATAAACATTAAAAAATTTTTAAAAATTAAAAATGAAAACAATACTATTTATAATCACTGTTTAGAAAATGCAATGCTTAGATATGCATATACTTAGCAAAACATATACTGGATCTGTGCACTCAAAATGGCAATATTCTATTGAAAGAAATCAAAGAAGACCTAAATAAGAGGAGAAATACACTGTGTTCATGAATTGACTCATCATAGTAAAGATGTCAGTTCTCCCCAAAGTGATCTATATAGACTTAATGTAATTCCTACCAAAATCACAGCAAGTGTCTTAGACGGAGATAAGCTTATTTTAAAATCTATATGGAAAAGTACAGGGCTTTGAATTGCTAAAACAGTCTTGAAAGAGAATAAATTAAGAGCAATCGCTTTTTAATATAAACCCTACTCTACAGCTACAGTAACCAGGGCAGTGTAGTACTGGAGAAGGGGAGAGACATAGACTGACAGAATAGAGATCTCAGAAATAGACCCATACAAACATGCTCAGCTGATTTTTCACAAAGGCACAAAAGCAACTGATTGGAGGAAAAACAGCCTCTTCAACAGATGTTGCTGCCACAATTGGACATCCTGGGGGAGGAAAAAGAACCTTGACCAAAACCTTAAACCTTATATAAAAATTAACTAAAAATGGATGGTGACGTTAAATGTAAAATACAAAAATTTTTAGAGACATAAGAAAAAATGTTCAGCATCTGGGGCTAGGCAAGGAGTTCTTTGGCTTGACACTGGAAGCAAAATCCATAAAAGGAAAATGAAGAAAGTGGACTTTAACAAAATTAAAATCTATGCTTGTGAAAGACCCTGTTAACAGGGTCTACAGACTGGGAGACAAGCTACAGACTGGAAGAAAACATTTGCTAACCATCTACCCGACAAAGCAGTAGTATTTAGAATATATAGAGAATTCTTAAACTCTACAATATGCAAAATAATCCAATTAGAAAACTGACAAAAGCTAGGACACCTGAGTGGCTCAGTCAGTTGGGTGTCTGAGTGGCTCAGTCAGTTGGGTGTCTTGATTTCAACTCAGGTCATGATCCCAGGGTCATGGGATCGAACCTCATGTTAAGATTCTCTCTCTCTCTCTCTCTCTCTGTCTCTCTGTCTCTCTCCCTGTGCCCCTCCCCCGCCACATATAGGTACCCTCTCTCTCTCTTAAAAAAAAAAAAAAAAAAAAAAAAAAAAAAAAAAGGCAAAAATAGGCACATGGAGAGATGTTCAGTATCATTAGCTCTTAAGGAGATACAAATTAAAGTTATAGTAAGATATCATCACTATATACCTATTGGAATGCTTTTAAAAAATAGTGACAACAGCAAACGCTCACAAGGATGCTAAGAAACCAGATCACTCCTACATCTCTGGTGGGACATACGATGGTTCTACGACTCTAGAAAATAGTCTGGCAGTTTTGTATAAAACTGAAACGCAACTACCATATGACCCAGCGATGGCACTCAGGGGCATTTATCCCACAGAAATGAAAAGTCCTGCTCAATTTTCTTTACACAAAACCTATACACAAATGCTCACAGAAGATTTATCTGTAATATCTAAAAGCTGGAAAAAAGGTGTTCTTCAACAGATGAATGGTGAAACTTTGATGAATCCATATCTTGGAAAAGTACTCATCAATTAAAAAGAATGAACTATTGATACATGGACCAATATGAATAAATCTCCAGGGCATTACACAGAGTGAAAAAAACTAATCCCGAAGGTTTACATTCTGCATAATCGCATTTATATAACATTCTTGAAATGACAAAACTATAGAAACAGAACAGATTAGTGGTTTCCAGAGGTCTGGTGGGGAGGAGGAAGTGAGTATTGCTATAAAAAGGCAACAGTATCACTTGTGGTGGTAGAAATGTTCTGTATCAAAGTCAACACCCTGCAAGATGTTTCCATTGGTGAAAGCAGGGTAGAAAGTACATTGGTGTGTCTATTTCCTATAACTGCATGTGAATCTATAATTAATTGTCTCAACATAAAAACTCATTAGGGGTGCCTGGATGGCTCAGGTCATGATCTCACCGCTGGTGAGTTTGAGCCCCTCGCTTGACTCTGTGCTGACAGCTCAGAGCCTGGAGCCTGCTTCGGATTCTGTGTCTCCCTGTCTCTGCCCCTCCCCCTCTAGCACTCTGTCTCTCTCAAAAATAAAAACATTAAAAAAAATTTTAAACATTTAATAAGCAAAATAAGAACAACAACAACAAAAATACTGATGCCAGGTCTCCTGGCCTACAGTTCTTTATAAGCAACCCAAGAGATTATAATGCATAGCCAAGAGTAAGCAGCACTGTTCTAGATGCTCTCTCACTGACTCAGTTACAAAAGCACTGAAAGCAAATGGTGGGCTGAACCATGACAGAGGTTTTGCAGGATGAATATGTTGAAAAGACATTAAAGAAGAAAGTGAGTCTATCGGCAGGGGAACAGTTGAAGAATGCAGAAACACAGGAGAGAGTTGGAAGAGAGAAGAAAAACTGTCCCAGAGCCCCAGGAATCCACGGAAAGGCATGGGTGTGAAAGTGGTGACTCTCCGCTTGCCCCCCCCCCCCAATTTACTTTCTCATTGAATGTGGACCCGTGTTAAGTTGGTAGGAGGGTGACTGTTACTCCCTTTCTACAAATGATCAAGCTGAGGCTCAGAGAAGTTACATAACTTGCCCAAGATCACATGGCTGCTGTATGACAGAGCCAAGATGAACCATTCCTCCCGACACGTTCACATCAGCCTTGGCTTAAATAAACATTAAAAAAATAACAAGATTTTACCAAGTCATAAAAGGGACAGAAAATTGCATATCTGATGGTTCAGACTCCTGTTTTAAGTATTTGGGTAAACCTTACCTAAAAGTGAGTCTCAGAATAAAGAGGACATGTTAAAAACATATTTCTTTGAAATTGTCTCTCAACTTCCATTAGGTAAAAACATACAAAAGCAGGGGCGCCTGGGTGGCTCAGTTGGTTGGGCGGCCGGCTACATCTCAGGTCATGATCTTGTAGTGAGTTTGAGCCCCGCATCGGGCTCTGTGCTGACAGCCTGGAGCCTGGAGCTGCTTTGGATTCTGTGTCTTCTTCTCTCTCTGCCCCTTCCCTGCTTGCACTTTATCTCTCTCTCAAAAGTAATCAACGTTTTAAAAAAATTTTAAAAACCATACAAAAGTAAACTGTTTAGGCACATGCTTCAGATTTTAGGGAGAGTAGCTTAGAATATAAGTTTTGAAATAATTATTGGCCCTCAAAAGCACGTATAGCACTTCTAAGCAAGATGGAAGATAAAAACTGTATGGCAAAGGCTCAAAATCTAAAGAAAAATGATCCGTACTGACCTAGTTCAACAGGGTTCTCCAGACGCAGCAAAGACAGATCATCAGTAGGAGGGAACTGGGTGAAGCCAGGGTGAGTGTATATGGCTTTTACTGGTAGCAAATCACCGTTTCCTATGTTTGACAGGGAACTTCTTCCTATTACTAGGCCATCTGTGATGGTACTTGTCATAAGAAAAAGGAGTGGGGAAATAGATACCACTTTTAATGAGGTTATAATTTTTCAAAATTACTAAAAATATACTGTGTAACATTTCTAATCTATGTTAAAATCTTTGTCATTTTGAATTCTTAGAAAATGGGGGTTCTTATTAATTCATCCCTGAGAAAAAGTATCTACTTTCTGGCCTTCATAACATCAAACAAAAAAAAATTGATTTAGTATTGCTTGACAAGATTTATGATGACTCAGGGCAATGATTCCATGTATTATTATGATCATAATATTCCACATTATATGATATCCATATATAATGGTCACTGACACCTATTCTGTAAGTTATAGTTACTCTTCTCCCTGATACAATGTTTCTCAAAGAAATGTCTAAGAACTACATGCATTAAATCTGGCATGAGCATTAAAAATGCAGAATCCCAGACATAACTCATCAAATCAAAATTCAGAATTAAGATTCTAAGATTCCATTTATAGCAAACTCCCCAGATAATTCTGTGCACATGAAAGTCTTAAAACTGCATTAACAAGGAGAATTTCTTGTGATTTCTCTCTATCCAAGGAGTGGGGGAATGGTAAAGAAAATGAGTTTTTGATTCGTTGAAGGTTCCTACTCACCAAGTTATTTGAGCAGGTACTTTTATAAAGTCTATCTTTGAGACACTGAAACACTAGATCTACTCATTTAACTGTCCATTGTGCAGCACTGTCAACCATATCACCACTTCTGGAAGACCAGTATTAAAAACATCAATCTAACACTTCTTTGAGGGAGGAGTTTTCAGATACCTCCACATCACATGGAGACCAAGATTCAGCTAAAATGTTTAAAAATGTTTCTTTTAGGGGACATTCATTAAAATTCTTTAAAAGTAGATATTTATTTTGAGAGTGGGTGTGATGATCAGTCATCAGAACAAGAAGGAAAGGGATTCACATTTGAGCAATGCCTGTGCTCTAGGCACAGTGCTAAGAAACCAATACAAAAATGTTAAGATATGATGTCCACTTTATAGATGAGGAAAGAGGGGGCACTGTTGTTACTTTTTAAATAAACTACACTTAGAGGCAGGAAGCACCTTCTGTAATTAACAGCTCTTGGTAGTAAATGCATTAGTGAAGCATGAGGTGTCATTGACCTAGTGTGCTCATTCGTTTGCATGATGGGGACTGTATCCTTGGGAGCTTACTGTTTCCTGGGATGCAAGGAGAGCAGGAGGATGCCCACCGTGGGCCTTCACACGGCTCCAGTGCCCCCTGCTCCACCCAGGCACACACCTAAAGTTACAGTGCGCTGCGGTCAGGACCCACTGCTTGGCGATCAGAGCACCTCCACAGAAATGTTGTCCTTGGTGCTGCAGACTGACCAGCCAGGGCCACGACTTTGCAGGTGCTGCATGGCCACCAACCACCCTGGGCTCCCCCAGCCTAGTTGGCGGCACATTTGTGTTTCTCTTAGACCCTTCCATTAGAAATGGGTCAACACCAGGAATTCCACAGGTGTCTGGGGTTGGCTGTTTTCCAGGACTGGTTTCTACTGTTACCTCTGAGAAAAATAACAACAAAACATTAGATAGAGGTGTTTATTAAAATCTATTAAAATCTCAGAATGGAGGTGTTTATTTCTTTTGTAGGTCAAAAACCAGGATGCTTAGCAAGAGAGTAGATTCCTCTTTTCTTTCATTGTTCATAAAATGAGCAAAAAATCAATAAAGTTAACTAAAATATTAATATAGACAAATCAAATTGATTTTAAAAATATTATGCTTAATCATGAAATTGCTGGACATTGTTCTTTCTTTGGCATTATTTATGTTATCGCAGTATAACACATCTAGACATATCAAGACTTTATACTAAACGTATTCCAAGTGTGACTTATATATAAAGGAAAAGCATAAGAGAAATTTCTAGCAATGTGTTGACTTCATTCTCAGATTTAAAAAGAAATCCACCAGGAAATTAAAAACAAGAGATTTTTCAAGTATATTCTGAAATATGAAGAAAATTTTCATGGCCTATAATTCGGGAATTGTAAGATATGCTCATTTGTTAAATTCTGTACTTGAGAGGGGCACCTGGGTGGCTCAGTCGGTTGGGCGGCCGACTTCGGCTCAGGTCATGATCTCGCGGTCCATGAGTTCGAGCCCCGCGTCGGGCTCTGTGCTGACAGCTCAGGGCCTAGAGCCTGTTTCAGATTCTGTGTCTCCCTCTCTCTCTGATCCTCCCCCGTTCATGCTCTGTCTCTGTCTCAAAAATAAATTAAAAAAACCCGTTAAATTCTTTACTTGAGATTTCTTTGTTTACACCAGAAATCCATTCATTCATTCATTCATTCATTCATTTTTCGAGACAGCAAGAAACAACATGAGCAGGGGAGGGCAGAGAGAGACAGACAGACAGACAGACAGAGAGAATATCTCCCCAAGCAAGGCTCCACACTGTCAGCACAGAGCCCAACACAGGACTCCATCTCAGGAACCATGAGATCATGACCTGAGCCCAAATCAAGAGTCTGACGCTTAATGTACTGAGCCACGTAGGTGCCCGCCCCCCCCCCACACTGGATTTTTAAAATAGCAACTGCCTTTTATGTTTATCATTATTTCTTAATCACACACACACACACACCTGCACACACCCCAATTAACTATTTCCTCACATGATCTATATAAACTACCAAGGTCTTGTGCTTTAAGAAATGGTTTGAAATGACACTATGCTGTTTTGAGTATCAGAGAAGGTGACTACCAGGGAACCTATAAGCAGTGTTCCACAGGTTCTACTTTGATATATATGGTTCCTGTTTTAGTAAGTATTTTAAAATCATTACTTACCATTAATAGGCAATTGGGTCCCCATATTACTTTTTTGTGAATGCTTCTGAACTGTGTCTTCCAAAATGAGTTTAAAACCTCTTTCTCCCACGGACTGATCAGTCTTAAAGTTGATAGTCAGGTAAGCACCACTGGATATTAAGACAAATTCTTTCTTGGAGCCACATAGATGTGCTACAATATGAGATATTTTCAATAATTAAAATAGTTCTTCTGGGCAGTAACATAGGTAAAAGAGGGCAAAAAGAAGACGTTAAATTCTGTACTGTTAATATTGGTAAAGGAATGATTATCGATAATGTGAGAACAAGATTTGTGGGATGGAATTCATGATTTGACTGCAGCAAAGGAAGGGTATAGATTTGAAAAGATCAAAGGCAAAAGACTGGGCTAGCATTTAATATGAAAATGATATATAATTCTATGGTAATCTGTGATCATAAGAATGAGAAAGAGACTTGCTGGTGAAGGTAAATGGACAGAGAAACAAAAGTAATAGCGGACAACATTCTGGACTGAATGTTTGTGTCCCCCTCGCAAACTCGTAGGTTGAAATCCTAATCCCAAATGTGATGGTGTTGGGGAGGTAAGGTTTTCGGGAAGTGGTTATGTCATGAGTCTGGAGCCTTCATGAATGGAACTAGTACCCTTAGAATGGAGACCCAGAGAATCTCTCTTTTTTTTTTTTTTTTTTTTTTTTTTTTTTTTTTTTTTTTTTTTTTTTGCCATGTGAGGACAGAGCAAAAAGACAGCTATGGATTGGGAAGTAAGTTCTTACTAGACACCAAATCTTAGACTTCCAAGCCTCCAGAACTGTGAAAAATAAATGCTTGTAGTTTAAGCCATTCAGTTTACAGTATTTTTGTCATAGCAGCCCCAACTGGCTGAGACACACAGGCTGCCCAAACGCAGACTAATGATGATCCTTTCTTAATTCAGAAATTCAAAAGTTGTTGCAAAGGTGGTCCTGACAGTGATAGGACATCTATTGTAATTTAGCTGTACATGCTATAATTTAAGTTCTCTCAAGATAAAACAGTGATACACTATTGATGCACCTTTTTAAAGATAATGTTGTCTCACAAATCTGAGAAAGAAAGATAGGGAATAGGGGATAGTTAACCTCCACATCATTCTTATCTTCAAAGAATCTGTCTCATGAACTGGATTTGATGGGGAACTTTTGAGATACCCTATGTCAACAAACACTCCAGAAGTTTTAAAATAATGTAAATGGGAAAATGCTACTGATTAAAAAAAAAGATTTGGAGGTGAGGGCAGTTGGGGAGAAGAGAGAGAAAACAAAATATAGGATTTCCAAAGTCATACATCAGTGAAATCGTGTAGCTTAATGCTTAGAAGTACAGATACTATAACCAAACTGGTTTAGACTAGCTCTGCTATTTCCTAACCATGTGGCACTGCGCAATTTATTTAACCTCTCTGCCTCAGTTTTTCCATCTGTATAATAGATATAAAAATTATATTCAAATGGGATTGTATGAGTTGGTATTTGCAAAGTATTATAAGTGCTTTTAAATAAAAATAAACCTCACCAAAATCTTTCAGCAAATCATTAGACAGATGGTTGCTGAACATGTGGAGAAGGAATCCATGGTCATGAGAAGCCAGCATGGTATTCTTAACATGCCACATTCAAGTAACCTAATTTCATTTTTTTTGAAAGAGCTAATTAGACGATGGCTAAGGGGAAGGAGATAAACTTAATGAATCTTGATTGCAGTGAAGCACTTAATATAGCATCTTATGATATCCTTGTGAACAGATAAAAAAATGTAAGTAGATAATTATATGGCTAGGAACTTTCACAGTTGATTAAATAGATTAAATAACCATACAACGTTAACCTGCAGGGAAGGTCTTAATGGTGTGGATATGGCTCTATCCTGGATTCTGTCAAATACAGTATTCTGATTCATAACTTAGAAATATAACACATTTATAAAAGGTATAGTTTTTTTTTAATGTTTATTTATTTTTGAGACAGAGAGAGACAGAGCATGAACAGGGGAGGGGCAGAGAGAGAGGGAGACACAGAATCTGAAACAGGCTCCAGGCTCTGAGCTGTCAGCACAGAGCCCGATGCGGGGCTCAAACCCACAGACCCTGAGATCATGACCTGAGCCGAAGTTGGATGCTTAACTGACCAAGCCACCCAGGCGCCCCTAAAATGTGTAGTTTTAAAATGGGTGCCTGGATGAGAAGGGAATAGTGTCAATATGTAATCTTGGAGACTATTTAGTTCAATCTTTCATCTGACTGTGAGTCCTTGCTAAAATAACCCTGAACATGTGATTACTCACCTGGAAGATGTGATGTAGAACTTACGAGCATTTTCTCTTTTTGAACGCTTCTAATTGCTAGACTGTTCTTCCTCACGTTGGATCAAAAAACATCAATGTAACAGTTTCTTCCTGGTTCGTGTAGTACCCAAGAATGTAAGTGTTTGAATCAGAGTGCTGGGGTTTGAATCCCATTGTCTCTACTTATTAGTTATGCCACTGGAAACAAGTTACTTAATCATTTTGAGACTCGGTTTCTTTATATTTAAAATGAGGATAAATGTAACCTACCTCTACAGGATAGTTAAGAAAATTGAGACAGTTGTAAGTGTGTAGGACCATGCCTGAATCATGGTAAACATTCAATAACTATTAGATATCATCAGTCAGTACAAATTTCATATATGGCCTGAGAGTCTCTATGAGAATTCCATAACTACTTGAAAGGAAGACTTATGATCCTTCTGTCTTCTCCAAGGTAAACACTTCTAAGCACCCACACCCTTCAGCATCCTGGTCATTGTTCTCTATGTTTGTTTCAGTGTTCCCGTTTGTCAGTGTTCCTTAAACACTTGACTAATGTTACTATTTAATAACCAGAATGGCAGGGCAACAGCCAGGCATATTAGACACTGACCATGAAGATTTGTGAGACTGAGCTAGTGCATGCCTGCTAAGTGCCAACACCAAACTTAATGCAAGGGAACAAATTCCCTTTACTTATCCTTTACTAACACTGCACTGAAATTTTGTCATTTGACATCTCTAAAATTTTTATTGCAAACATCCTGCTTTCTAAATCACCACCTCCTATCTATCCAACTTATCAGTGTTTCTCTACTATAATTGTTTGATTTCACCATGACCTTCTAGCCATCAATCCCACAAACTTTCTAAATCTAGCAGCCTCCAAGAAAGAGATTTTGCTGTAAAGGGAAGCAGAGAAATGGGGTAATATATAAATTTCTTGTTCAATTTTATTTAAAATGATGGGTAATACTAGAACATGTTTGAAACTGATGAGAGTGGTAGAGAAGATCAATGATGTCCAAGAAAGAGTCACTTGAGGAAATCTGTTAAGGAGCTGGTAAGTCTCAAATCTTCATCTCTAGCCCAATCTTTGCCTCTAGCTCCAGAGTTCTACCTTTAGCTACCAACTCAACCAGGACGTTGCCAACTCAACCAGGATGTATTATGCCATTAAGAATGTAACATGGCACAAACAGCTATCTCCCCATGAATCTATTTCTTCCTCTAGTATTCCCCATCTCTGTAAATGCCACCATCTCTAACCTCTCACTCCAGAGTAATCCTTGATTTGCACATTTAATTTCATATGCAATTCACCCAGAAATCCTATTAGTTCTGCCTCCAGATCTGTCCACTTCACTTGCACTCCACAGATGCCATCCTCTTATAAGGCACCATCTATCTATTGTCTAAAACAGATAAAATAGAACATTCTGCAATGATGGAACATTCTGAATGAGGGCTGTCCACTATTACATGCAACAATGAGCACTTAAACATGGCTAATACCACCCTTTATTTAACTAATTTAAAAGTAAAAAACAACGTGAACTGGACAGTGCAGATGTAGAATAACACAAGAGCCTCATAACTTTAGATATTCACCCTGTCACTCTAAAACTCACTCCCAATCCAGCAGCATGAGCATTCTTCAAATTACTCCCTTGTCAAAAATCTTTAATGACCTCCCATTGGATTGGAACAAAATCCAAACTCATTACCATAGCCTGAGCTGCACAGTGGCAAGGCCTTCAGCCCACCTCATTCCTGTCTGTCCTCACTCAGTCTCCAATCACTCTGACCCCTGACAGTTCCCCAATTTACCAAGCTTTTCCCAAATTCAAGGTCATTTTCTCACCAACTTTTTTTCATCAAATATTTACTAAATGTTGGGTAGTACTCTACCCAGATGCTGGAGATACAGTAATGAATATGAGACTAAGTCCTGCTCTCAGGACATTTCATTCTGGTGGAAGGAGACAGATTATAAATAAATGAATACTTTGCTAGGTCTTGATAAATGCCAAGAAGAAGACAGAGGAGGCCTACTTACATCATGTGATAGAGGCCTTAGATGAGGTAACATGTGAACAGATACCTAAATGAACTGAAGACATGTACCCTTCCTCTGCAACTTAACTCCTTCAGATTACTTCTGACAATCAATAATTATTTGATTATTGTTTATTGTTATCTCAAATTATCATCTTCTTATTTATCGTCTGTCTTTCCAAGAGAAGATGGCAGAGATCATTTCTGACTTGTTCACCATTGTGTCTCCAGTGTGCCTAACCTATTAGGAAATGCTTAGTAATGAATGAATTTAACCTGTACATTTAATGTAGTATTTACTGGTTACAGATATCTTACATTCATGGGGTAGGTAAATGAAAGAAGACCAGGTGAAACTTAATTTTGATAATATATTTTCACTAAGATATTATAAAAGCATTGCAATGGAAACCATTTGGATGCTACGTACCACTCCATTTACACTTACACAAATAACTAAAACCTGGTGAATTCTACTTAGGTAAACAGATTTATTAAGAAAAGACAATATGGTTCCATTTTATCTGGGAGATTGGCAATGGGGTTCTATGTTCACTAGTTTGAAAATGATTACATAAATTGTATGCTTTGTGGAAATAAATTATATAAATATATAAAATTGTATTAAATAAAATTGTATTAACTATCAAACGAATTGTGGCTTCCTTACTTTTTATAGAGAGTTATAGAAGCTAATAATAAAAATATGAGTAGCCTTATTTATAATCATTTGACATTTCTGAATTTTTTATTTATCAGAAATTTTAAAGAGGAATAGGACTGCTAGACTGAAAACACTAAAGAATAAGAAAGAGAAAAGTAGCCCCTGACATTCAGAAATGGGTTTGGTGGGGGCACCTGGGTGGCTCAGTTGGTTAAGTGTCTGACTTTGGTTCAGGTCATGATCTCATGGTTTGTGGGTTTGAGCCCCATGTAGGGCTCTGTGCTGACAGCTCAGAGCCTGGAGCCTGCTTCAAATTCTGTGTCTCCCTCTCTTTCTGACCCTCCCTCACTCATACTCCTGCTCACTCTCTCTTTCTCTCTCTCTCAAAAATAAACATAAAAAAAAAAAGACATGGGTTTGGCACTCACAACTAGACCATGTTGTTCTGCTGTTAGACATAAACATTCTCACAGAACATCAACATCAGATAGGACTCTCTGAATCTATGATAAAGTGTGACAAAACACAAGGTTGTGTGCAACCACCAAAATACCAAACATCGACCTCTCTTGGCTAAAATGAGGGCTTGCCATTCTTTGCCAAATGCAGTTTTACCCTTGTTCGAGTCAGGCCTCCCTATGATTGACATGCCTGTCATAAAATTACTGTACTTAACAGCAACCAATCTTGAGCAAAGTCTACTTCCTTAGACCCTCTCCAAAACCACCTAACCAAAGCCCAAATCCCATACTAGGTTCTTTCTAACTCTCTCTGAGATACCCCACGGTGTGATCCCGGGGTCTCTGGCTGTAGGACATTGGTGAGAGTTAAGGTTACAAGGTCTGATGCTATAGATACCTTATATTAATCTCAAGGAGAACTGATATGTTTCATCTGCCTCCTGCCCCCCACCACATTAGTGGCTTGAAATTCTTTGATAGGAAGTAAATTTACTGTTAAGAAAAAGTTAGGTACCTTTAGAATTTCAAAGCAAATTGCTGAGCTTGCTGGTGTTATAAATCAAATGATATCACATTAGAGATCAAGGTCCCAGAAAAAGGTAGTATCAAAACTTTCCTCTTGCTCTTTGGGATAGGTGGATTGTAATGGCATCCTGAGGAGAACTTGTTGGAGACTGAAGAAGGTGACACAGTATTGGATTATAAAATCTTTGGAAAAGTTTTCTTCTATGACTCAGTCTGAGAGCAGGACATTGCCTGACATTCAAGTGTGATGGACACCATGTGGTCAATAAACCTCTGAAGATTATTCAAGCTAATTGGACTTTTTTGCCTTTTATATTTACCCTGTGTCTAAAAAGGGCCACTCTTACTGTGAGGATGAAACCTGAGTAAACAAATTTTCAAAAAGTTACCTAAAAATGCAGTACAGTAATTGAACCTCTTAAAATACAGGACTTCCAGAGAAAAAACAGAATCAGAGCACCCCCTAATGGTAAAATGAGACAGGAATCAGCTAAAATCAGGAAGAGCTGGTGTTACAGGTAAAGATCCAGGGAGTCCAGTGGTCTCAAGCTCATCCCATTGTGCTCAATTAATACTTCTTTGGGATTCTGATGAAGGATCTCATGAAAAATCACTGACAACAAATTACATGTTTCCTAAGGCAAATGTAGGTCATGTTTTCCACATATATGCATTATATAAATGCCACTTAATGTAGGCCATTGAAGAAAGATCAGTTTACCAAGTAATCTTGATTGCTGATCTGGTCCATCATAAATACTGACATAATCCCACTCACAGTTCCAAGATTCTTCTGTTGTAAAGTCTTTAATCACTGCCTTCATTTTATTTCCTGATGCGGAATAAAAAATCCAAGTGCAGTTCAGCATGTTGGGATAAATGTGAGGATAATTGGGAGATGTGATCTCAGTAGAACTAACTGAGATCAAATCCAATACTGGACATCCTGAGGCAAAAATAAATAAATAAATAAAATATTTAACACAACAATCAAAGAGTAGAGTTATTTTCTGAGTCTAGTTGTAATGACAACCAGGTCATTACAACCTAAACTGCAGTGTACTTTAATTTCTGTCATTCCTCCTTCATACCCACAGTTCCAAATGACTTTTGTTTTGAAAAACTGACTTCTCCAGAAGCAGGCAGACTGAACTCATTTGACTTCAGTTCACAAACTGTGAACCACTAAACCACCCACCATCTACAGTTCAGTGTAGTTTTGTTGCTTATATTTAATACACAATCTTACTTAATGTTCACAATCAGGAGAAATAGATTTTATAATCTTTAGTCCACAGATAAGTGATTTATCACTTTGATATGCAATAGATATGTCCTGAGACTTGTAGGACTTCCCCAGATTTGTAACTACCACAGCAATATTTCATTTCCCACACAGTGCAGGAAAAGATAACTTCGACACCACAAAGTGGGAACGGAGAACAAGGGAAACAGGTTGACAAGTTGATCTGGGTACTCAGATTGAATTCCTGAATAAATTATGCGCTCCTAAAGTTCAGCCTCACAGCATGTACAATTCAAGTGCAAACATTTACTAGTTAGGGAAACTCAGGTAGTGTTCAGATAGCTGAAATATAGAAATTAAGATTCACAAGGGCTAAGGGGCTACACCAAAAAGAGAACTGAAGAAGTCAGTGACGTTTGGGGCCTACTCCAAACGTTATAGGTATCATCCAACCTAAAATTAATTACATCCAAAAACTGATTTACTTCATCAATAATCTTAACATCTCAGTTTCATTCTGCAATGGTCCAGCAAAGAAAAACAGCAAAAATATATATGTAATCCAAAAGACATAAAATATATGGAAAGAATGGCAATGAATAGACTTCAAACAGCTACGAGGATTCCATAGACAAAACAGATGGGTTTCTCACCTATTAATTGAATAAGGTGCTACCTCCTCACCCTCAGTTCCCTAATGTGCCCCAGGTCTCCACTACCCCCAAAATTTGACATAAGGATCGCTTCTCGGCCTTTTGGCTAAGATCAAGTGCAAAATTTGACCTAAGGAGATTAATACAAATACACATTTTACTATAAAGTGACTAGAATCAGGCCACAAATACCTGAAAGTGTTTGACAAGTCAAAGTACACTTCTTACTAAATTGTGTTTAGCGGCATTTTCCACTCTATTTTCACAATATCATATAACCAAAGCAAGCCAGCTGGATTCCTTATCTACTTTTATGGTCTTACCTTGATCATTAACTTTAATTTTTCCTTTCATGGAATCTAGAATAAGAGAATACTCAGCATCAATGCATCCAACTAAATATTTTATATTCCTTTATTCTTCTGATTATAAAAGTGATACATGAACCTTCCAAAAAATTTCAAAATACAGAGTCCAAAGAAGATAAAAAATCTCTTGTAGTACCATCCAGTAAGTAACCAATATTCATATTTTAACAAATCTGGCAAAGTCTTTCCTATGGTATATATACAATATTTCAAAAAGTTGTATGCCACTTTACGCCATTAAAACCATTTTCCTCCACTTAATTTATTGTGACTATTTTTCCATACTAAATATTTCACATAAATTTTAATGATTCTATATTTTTGATCCACATAGATGTAACATCATTTGTACCAATGTATTTTAATTTGTAATTTCAAAATATGAAAGGTGAGTCAGATCTTTAAAAACTACACACGGGGTATACATTTTGTTGTCATTGAAAAATGTCTACACTAAAGGTTTTCTATGTTTATCTGAACACATAAGTTGAATGTATGTAATAATGGGCTCCTGAGTTGACACCTACCCATACACTGGTTCTCAGCCAGGAGGATTCCCATTAGTAAACGGATGCATTTCTTACTCATTCACTGGATATGGAGCTACCTCCTTACCCTCTTCTCCCTAATTGGCCCCAGCTGAAATGTCATTTCCTTTACTCAAACAATTGTTGCACACTATTTACTAGGCACGGTTGTAGGTTTTGGAAATAACCACAGTGGGGTATGTTTGGCGGCACTGAGGAACAGCAAGAACGGTGGTATGCTAGTGCAGAGTGAGCATAGGGGAAAATGACAGGAGAAGAAGTGAAGGAGGTGGCTGAGATCCAAATTATATAGCATCTTGTAGACCACTCTAAGGACTTTGAATGAGCTGGGAAAACATTGGAGGATTATAAGCAGAGGAGTAACATGACAATCTGAATTATTCATTTTAAAATAGTCATTCTAGCTGTTACGAGTAAAACAGACTAAACAAAGACTTGTATCAGGATGCTACGGTAGAACTGCTCAGAACTACTTGCTGGAAAGCTCACAGATTAACTATACACAATATGGGATATGAGAAGATAAGTCAAGAACGACCAATATCCTTACCTCGAACAATTAATTAATAAATGGGAGTTGTCATCTACTGAGATGGGAAATATTGGTGAAGGAAGCAATCTGGAGTCAGGGTAAGAAATTCAGAGTTCAATTTTGGTCACATTAAATTTGAAATGCTTATTAGATATCCAAGTGGAAAGGGAGGTGATTGGTGATACAGTGCTGGAGGTCAAAAATAAAAAAGAATTTGGGACTACATTTGGGAGTTATTTGTGTACTGATGGTATTGAAATCTAGGAATTGGGTGAGGTCACTAAGGAGTGAGTACAGGTAAAGAAGAAATGAGAGTCCAAGACTGGGTCCAGGGACACCTCTACCTTTAGTGGTAGAGAAAACGAAGAGCAACCAGCCAGGAGACGCTGAAGGAGACCAGTGAGGTAAGACAACAGCCAGAGAGTGGTTTCCTTCAGGCCAAGACAAATAGATTCCAAAAGGAAGGTGAGCTTATCTGGGCCAAATGCTGTTGGGGCTGAGAAGGAACTGTTGGATCTGGACGTGGGGATGTCATTAGTAACTTTGCTAAGTCCAATGCCTGTGGAATGGTAACAAAGAAAGCCCTATGGGAATGGATTTAAGAAAAAAATGAGAGAGCAAAAGAGGAGACAGTAAGTAGAAATAAATTTTATGGCCTTTGTGATAAGAGAACAAACAAACCTTAAGTTTTCCTACAATTCTATTACCATCCTTTACCAAACTAAACAAGATCCCTCCATTGTATATTATTTTTGCATATCATATTTTTCCTTCAAAACAGTACAGTTCTTTCTTCACTCTATACTGTATGATTATTTGATTACTGACTATCTCCTCCACTAGACTATAAACTCTACTAGGGCAGAGACTGTGACCAGACTAAATTAAATACTTTTAGTAGAAATGTGTCTCCAATTGTATTCCAATTACATTTTTTAATGAGTATAAATTGATTAATCTCTTATTAAAAGTTTATTTATTTTAGAGAGAAAGAGAGGAGGCAGAGGGGCAGAGAGAGAATGGAGACAGAGTCCCAAGCAGGCTCCACACTGAGTGTGGAGCCCCACTCAGGGCTCAGTCTCATGAACTGTGAGATCATGACCTGAGCCAAAATCAAGAGTCAGATGCTTAACTGACTCAGCCACCCAGGTGCACCTAAATTGATTAATCTTAAGGATGGAAGCAATTCTAATAACTTCCAAGTTGCAAATGTTTTCTCCATGATACCCAATTTCTATGATTTGCAATAGTTCTAGATTAATAGTTCTGATTTTTCATAATGTTATCGGTGTCTTCACCCAAACCATGGGAATGTAGGCCAAAGCATATTTTTAAATAATCTGACTGAAATGAAAAACAACAAATTGCTCTTGATATTAGCACATTAAGGAAATTAATTTCAAAAGAGAAAAACTTTCTGAAACTTTAATGCTAAGGAAAAAGTTTCCTACTATATTTTTATAATCACCTAAATGTCCAGAAAAATAGACAAAATTCTTAGGTGCTATAAGAAAAAAATGATAAATCTGATTGATATTATACTTTATAGAGGTTTAGCTGGAGGCCTCCACAAATTGCAGAAGTCATACTTTAAACACTGTCTTTTCTTCTCCCCTAAAGCTGACTAATAGAGAATTCAATCTATTTAATGACAGGTTTTTCCTTAATAAAGCACAAAACAAATATAAATATATTCATAAACATATATGAAAGCAATAGACTTACCAGGAAAATGAAAAGAATATCTCAAAGAAAATTCTTCCAACCCCAAACTGACATTGTATGTGAAAATCAACATCATTAGAGGACCACGAGATTTTAATGAAGGTGAATTTCCTGCACATAATTTTCCTGGCCCAAAATAAAGAAAAAAACAAAGAAGCATACAAAAACTTACTATTCATCAAAGCAAAGGTTATTGAACAAAGTAGGAGAAAAACAATCCTGTTTTTGAAATTACAAATTTATACCGTATGCACTCCCAAGAATATAAAAATGAGAAAATTAAGCAGAATAAAACCCAGTTAGAATAGAAAGAAAGATGTTCCAGATTCCTGGAATCTAAGCAGTTCTAAGGAAGGGGTCCTAAACCAAACAAAACACAGGACTCAGTTCTTACAATGTCTGGAAATAACCTAGATAGATCTCTTTTTTTTTTTTTTTAAGTTTGTGGGTTTTGTTTGTTTGTTTGTTTTTAATTTTTAAGTAATCTCTACACCTAATGTGAGGCTCGAACTCACAACCCCGTGATCAAGAGTTGCATGCTCCATTGACTGAGCCAGCCAGGTGCCACTAGGTAGATCTCTTTAAAGTGATGTATTATAAAAGAAGATGACGTGGTCTAGCTAAGTCCTCAGGGAACTATATATTTATATCTAGGGAACTATATCTATAGCATAGCTAAATGAGTAAGAGGCAAGATGTAGCAATTAGCATGCTTCCCATGACAAACCATTTCTAACTTTAAGTGATCATATGTAGTATTTTCTGAAACATTCTAACAAAGGTAGTTTGCTCTAAACAATAGTATCAAAGTTTCAAGTCAACAATTCTAAGAATTAAGCTTTTCACTATAACAGAGAAACTCTGCCCTTTTTAGTAAACAGATGGCCATAGAATCAACTTCATTGTGTCAAGAAACAAAGTAAGAGATTTACTTCAGATTGCATAGTAACTGATATGAGAATATTCACTAACCTTTCTTATCTGTGAAAAGAGGCTAATGGTTAATCAGGGCTTTATGCTCTCAAGATCATGTGGATCCATAGTTTGTCATTTCTTGTAAAATGAGCAGAATAAAAATCAAAGCTTTGGCGATTCTGGTTTTAACTTGAAATTTAATCACAGCTGAGTGATCCAAAGATATTGGAGCCTATACATTTATTTTTACAGATTTGAAAATTTTTAATACTGATTTGTTAACATTCCCTACGTATTTACCTTAAACTTTTTTCAGAGCTGTTGAAAATCTCAAGTTTGTTGTTTTAAATTTTGTTCCTATTGGGGTAGAGGTTTTTAATTTTATAGGAATTTATTGACAATTTCCTGTTTCTTCCATTGCTTTTATATGAGAAGGTGGTCCTTCTCCATCAATAAATATTTACCCATTTTTTCTACTTTGTATGGCTTAAGAAAAATGCTTAACTCTTTTCAATCAGCTCTTGTACAAAATTATGAAAAATATAATTTATATTTTCCTCTCTGATTTGTAAAGCCAAATTTCTTATACGTTCCCTTTTGGTCTATTTATTTCTACTCATGTGTGTTTCTGTGTGTATGTACTAGTCTGTTTTAATTATCATTGTTTTAAAGTATGTTTTAATATCTGATAATGTGCCTCATCACAAAAAAAAAAAAAATCAAAACCTTTGGGGACTCTGGTTTTAACTTGAAATTTAATCAAGACAGTCTGTCAAAACATTTTCAGATAGTCCTATTTATTGTACAGATAAATAGTTATTATCAGTTTCTTCCTCACTCTCTGAAAAAAAAATTCCTATGGGATTTTTCTGGGAAATATACTATATTTATATATTAATTTAGTGTGAATTAATGTTAATTCTGTCTTCCAGGTTTAGAACATGGTACATTTCTCCATTCCTATCTGCATGTTTGTGTGTATGTGTGTAAAGTTTTATATTTGCACAATAAATCTCACAGTTAATTTTAGGGTTATGTCAAAAAAGAAATCAACAAGCCCAAAATGGAGTCATTTATGTGAGGCCATGTCACTAAACTGGGGCTTAATACCTAACCCAACTGCAGTTCAACCTCCCCCAGAAAATGCAGTCTTAACCAGTCAGTCGGGAATATTCTGGTTAGCACCAATGAAGTAATGTGTCATATGGGCCCTCTCCATTCCCCAAAGGAAGAGGAAGTAATCTGTATAAGAGTCTCTTTTCTTTTGCTAACTGTCCTGCTCTTTTTTTTGTTTATAAAGCCCTTCCATTTTGTATAGCTCCTCAGAGTATCTCTCTACTTACCAGATGGAACGCTGCCCAAGGCAGGAGTCCCTTAATAAAGACAATTAAGTCTTCACATTTATTCGGTTGAATTTTCTTTAACAGATATTCTTATAGTTTTTTGTTGCTAATTATAATGATTTTTCCATTCTATCTTCTATTAATTTTACTGGTATGGTTTTAAGGGTATAATCGCTGTATGTTTAATTTATATCTATTTTTCCTTATGTGACATAGTTCTACATAATACATTTTTCAATATTAAACTATCCTTGCATTCTTAAGATAAATCATATTTGGCTATGTTTAATAGTGAGTAACCTACTGACCTTAAGCACTGAGTTAACCCCCAGAACTTGTATATTTAATTTGCAAAAATTGAAATTTTAGGAAGTAGGAAATAGTACATATATTTTATGAACTTATTCTAAGATAAACAGGTATATAGTTCCATTAACATTCTGAATTATAACTGACATAGCTAATATACTCTTCCCTCTTTTTTATTTCTTTGTTCTTCCAAACTTTGTGTACTCTGACAATGCATTCATGGAGAGGCATTAGTGAAACATCAATCTAATCTTTTCTTCTAAGCAACACAATTTTAAGAGTAAGAATGAAAACGTACGTTTATAATTCAAAGACAGCAGAAGCTTGCTCTCTTTTATATTGATTAACATGCATTCTTCCATTTAATTCCCAAAACAATCTCATTGGCAGTACAAGTAAAACATCTTATAAGGCAGGAAAGAAAGAAGTGTAGATAATTTCCAAGGATCCAGGGCACAGATTCTGCATTCTCCCCGTAATAAGCTGTGGCCTTGTTGGTGCTAAATGGGCTCAGGAACCAGGAACTATCAGTGTTTATTAACATTTCCTCAAGTAGAAATACAAAGATTTTGAATGCACCTACTTCTGGGTTGGTAACATAAGTTCAAAGAATAAAAGGACAGTGTATTAGCAATTGGCTGTTTTATCAATTCTGGCAAGATCCTACCTAGGGAGAGAGGATCACTGGCATCTGGGCCTTTCTTAGGGAGTCAAAGGCCAGCAACATGCCACACCTCCTCTTCCTGTCAGCAGTCAGCTGGTTTCATCAGGCATAGGTATGCCTAAGTAAATTGGTGGTAGTGACAGTGGGGAGTAAATTGTAAATTACCTGAAGAGCCAAGGCAGTTATTATTATTCTCTTGTCACAATTCAAGAAACAGAGTCTGAGAAAGCTTTGGGAACGCCCCCCAAATCATTTACTATGAGGTAGAAGTGAGACCTGGATACAGCACTATCAGATTTCCATCTGGACTGCTACATCACATCACATAGGGGAAGGCTGGTCAGCCAATTGAAGTCCCATTTTATTCCCCTTGTCTCTAGTCATCTCTCAGCTGGGTGTGGCTATGTGACAAATCTGGCCAGAGAGGCTTGAATCTGCCACAGGGTTCTTGGAAATGTGTTTGTTTTCTCAATGGTGACACTCCTCTGTGTCCCTTTCTTTTTTCTCTATGTAATGGTGAGAACTGAAATAGCCATTATGGGACCATTAGGGAATGGCCAAGAGAACTGCCCTAACCTTAGTCTTGACAGAGTTGAACTGCTGAATTAGCAGTACATCTACAAAACTCTGGATATTTCTTTCAGAAAAATAAATTTAAGTCACTGTAATGAGGTTTCCAGCTACTATCTAATTGATAAACCCACTTAATGCCTTTTCTGGTGGAAATTAGTTTGCCTGATTAATATTACAGTCTTAATTTTCTTGTGTTTCAATTGCCTAAAACTCCTTTATCTATCCATCCCTTATTTTCAGTACTTCTGGGCAAATTTAATCTAGGTATGACCCAGGTAAGCAGCATATAGTTGGGTTTTGTTTTTAACTCCAACTGAGTGTTAGCTTAATCTCAATTACAAATCTAAAAAATACTAAGGCTATTTCAATACTACATAATTAACATCATCTGTAAGTCACACTGAATACAAAACAATATGAGAATATTTCATAAAAAATCAAGAACACAGTTCTTCATGGGACATTAGTTACCTATTAATTTTTTGCCTGATCCAAATCCTTCATAAACCCATATATGACCCTGACAGGCCAAGGGTGTCGACTTCATCTGGAAGTTGATAATATCAAGGCGAATGATGTGATCTAAAGGGGCTAATAACTTCCAGTGGCAACTGTGGCACAGATAAAAGAAAGTCAGGAATGATTTCCAAATGAAACATACTGTTATTTACTTTGATAAAATAAAGTCAGCAATGATTTCCAAATGGCACATACTGTTATTTACTTTGTTCAGAATTTTATGTATCATTGTTACTGACTCAATCTTTGTGCGTGGGTGAAAGAAAGATTTTTACTTTAAACTGTAACAATTAAAAAATATTTCTAATATCTAATTTATCAAAAACGTTAATTAAGTTCACCCATCATGGCAAATGGTTGGTCAATCACATGTACTCCTCTAAATTCTAATTGGCAATCTGTGAGTTAAGGATCTACTTTTGCCTGAATTTGCCCCAAACTCCCCTAAATCACATAAATTTACTTAGGATTGATATTATACCAATCTTCACCCCTCACATCACACTTTAAATTTATTCTCTTGTTTAATTCAAGGAAAGTTCTCTATTTTGGCAATTTAAGAATCATTTATTGAGTACCTAATATGTTCTAGAAGATTTTATGTACATTATTTCAATCTCCAAAACTCTTTGACAGAGATGTGACTTTCCACTTTACCTAATAAACGATCCCTTCTTTTGAGAAAGTGCACAATTTATCAACAGGGATAATCTTACACTCAGTTTTTGTATAGGGATAATCTTATGTTCAGTTTTTATATGCTGAAGGCCTTAGAGCAGGGATTACTTCAAAGGCTATTCTTCAAGGAGAGGAGGTGGATAATATGATTAAGCAAGTGTTGCAGTTTGTCAAGTGGTCATTCCTTCAACATAATAAGCATCCCTTCCTCACCTCATACTGGTTCTGTGAGAGTATCTTGGGATCTGTATGATTCCTCCTGGTTCAGTCAGAATAACATCCTCATAAGTGGCCACATGTTCTTGGTTTGAACTTTGGAGAAGTTTGGGAGTTTTACTGCCCTTTGGACCTAAATATTTTTAAAAAGGCAATGAAAATAAAATTAATTTTTGAGAGGCTTATTATATGCCATTTCAGATCAGTCACTTTTTCTCTCAGTTTTAGAAAAAAGTTAACAGGAAGTGGTTAGCCTCACTGAAAAGTCTCCATCAGAGAGCAGCACTTTTCTTGAAATTATCCTTGGGGTAGACTTATGTCAATGAAAGATAATGTGGAAAAACTATAAATAATGCTAGCTCTCTGCACAGTTCCAACTAAAAGCAACATTATTTTTCTTTAATGTTTATTTACTTATTTACTAAGAGAGAGAGAGAGAGAGCGCACGAGCATGAGCGGGGGAGGGGCAGAGAGAGAGCAGACACAGGATCTGAAGCAGGCTCCAGGCTCTAAGCTGTCAGCACACTGTCCAACGCAGGGCTCAAACTCATGAACTGTGAGATCATGCCCTGAGCTGAAGTCGGATGCTCAAACTACTGAGCCACCCAGGCACCCCAAAAGCAACATTCTTAATAAAGTTTTTTAGGAAAACTCTTTCACATGATATGTACACTCTTCTTTATTCCTTATTGAACTTTCCCCCCAAATCTACCTCTGCAATACTTTTTGGTGCCAATGAGAAAAGGTGCAATACTTTTTGGTGCCAATAGCTTTCAGTCACCTATAGTTATCAAGAGTCAAAAAGCTTTATTAATTACTTGTTCTAAAATGCAATCTAATAACTCTGAATTGCATAGCATTTACATTTATATTGCTAGCATTTCATGTCTGTGTAGTTTACCTTAGAAACTCATTCTGACCTTTTATTATATTACTATAAAGAAAACTGATACAGAGATAATAAATTATCCATAGATAATCAACCAACTAAGAGTTAGAACCCTAACCTTCTGATCCACAGAAAAGGCCCTCTGTGGCATAAAATCACATCACAGTAAAAAATGTCGTCTTGAAATGAATGTATCTTAGCCACATCCAGAAATCATAATTCTGGATGATTTACAAGTCAATGAAGTTATCCTCTGAGCAGTTTCTCTTTTGAATCTGCACCAATCTCAGATGACTTAAAGAGATTTTTCTTTCAAACACAAACTCCCCACAGAAACACCATCTCTTATGAAACAATATATGCTTTGAAATATTCCTAAAGAAAAAAACACTGATTTTTAACTTTTTAAGTTTATAAAATGACCAAGCCTACCTTGGACTCTAAAGACAATATAACTTATGCCCAAAGCACCTTGCACAAGGGAACGAAATGTCACCCTCACCAGTGGTCCAGAGCTCATGAAAATCATCGGGTAAAGCCCTCTTCCACATAATTCACCTAGTTAAAAAAAAAAAAAAATCTAGTAAAACACAAGAAATAAAATTTTTAGCAGTTTCTCTATTTTAAGAGAAATAGAGGATTTATTCATGAAATATTTGACATGTTAACATTGTGTAAAGTTAGAGTGTACAACATGCTGATTTGATACATTTATATATTGTAATATGTCTGCCATTATAGTGATAGTCTCTATCACCTCTCATAATTACCATTTATTTTTTGTAGTGAAAATAATTAAGATCTAGTCCCTCAGCAAGTTTGATGATTATACTACAAATATTGACTATATTCACTATACTATGCATTGGATCCCCAGGACTTATCTACTAGTTCTCAATGAAGCAGGAATTTATTCCACTCAACAAAATGAGCAAACAGGGCTCCAGGACTCAAGTGACTCACCCAGAGTCAGACTGGTATGGTGGGGAGTCAGGATCTAAACCCAGGACCATCAATCCAGTATCCAACATAGTCTGCTAGGTCATACTGCTCCCTTAAAGGACAGTAGGGAGTAAATTACTTCATCTTTAAAATGACACTGATATGCCATGTTTCTTCTAGCAAAGTAATCTGCTTATAAAAATATCTCACTATCAGAGATCCATGATGGAAAACTTTCTACCTGAAAATGTATTCTTTCTCTATAGTTAATCTTCTTTTGATGGCTTTAGTTTGAGAACCTGACTCTAAGATGTAAGGGAAAATTATAATTCCAGAACAATTCAGAGGGCTGATTAAGGAAGGTGTGGGGACATGTGGGTGGCTCAGTTGGTGAAGCATCCAACTTCAGCTCAGGTCATGATCTCATGGTTTGTGAGTTCAAGCCTGGCATTGGGCTCTTTGCAGTCAGCACATGGAGCCTGCTTCAGAGCCTGTTTTCTCTCTCACTGCCCCTGCCCCTCTTGCTCTCTCTCTGTGTCTCTGTCTCTGTAACAAAAAAATAAACATTTTAAAACAGTGTGAAAAGAACCTGGGTTTCTCAGGATCAAACTCATCTATATTAAGAATAGGTCATGGGGCGCCTGGGTGGCGCAGTCGGTTAAGCGTCCGACTTCAGCCAGGTCACGATCTCGCGGTCCGTGAGTTCGAGCCCCGCGTCGGGCTCTGGGCTGATGGCTCAGAGCCTGGAGTCTGTTTCCGATTCTGTGTCTCCCTCTCTCTCTGCCCCTCCCCCGTTCATGCTCTGTCTCTCTCTGTCCCAAAAATAAATAAAAACGTTGAAAAAA